GTGACGAAAGAATTGAGGAAAATAAGAACCACTTGGATAATGAGAGAGAAATGAAGAGGATAAGTTGCCTCTTTGGTTGGGCGGTCCAGCACTGTAAAAACAGTTTATAAATATGATACTTCAGTTTGTAAATTAAGAGCTATTTTAAGTATTTGTAAGCCAAAATCTATTTTGTTAAGCACAATTATAAAAGCGCGTAAAATTTACTTATCACTTATACAAAAGTTGTTTTTTAAAATTAAAATATATTTTTATCTTTATCTTGTTTTTATGTTTCCCTCTGCATATTCTTTATGCTTCTTGACTAGTTTTTAGTTATTTATTTTTATTATTCTCTTAAATGAAAATAATTTTTAACATAATATCAATAATATTTTTTTTTTATATTTATATAAATTGTACAGAGTATATCATCTAATTAATTATGTACTAATATTATTTGGTTCAAAAATTTTCATATTACTATAATTTCGATTCTAATTTCACTGTGTTTTATTCATTAAATATAACTGATTAACTTCTTCTTATTATAATACTTTAAAATTATTATATTTTAAATTCAGATTTTTAATCATTTTTTGTTATTTAATAAAAATCATATTCATTTTAGTTATTCTACAAATTAAACTTATTTATCAAACCATAATTTACATAACTTTTTTTACTTTATATACTAACTTATATAAAAACTAATTCAAATATAAATTATATTATCTAATCTAATTTTTACTTAATTTTTTTAAAATTAGATTGAAAATAAGTTTTTTTAATCGCCACTTTAATAATTGGGCGTGTAATCTTCTTTGGATCGAGTTGGTCAAAAGAGACGGTAGGTCAGACTCAAGGCGTTTGACAAATGGACAGTAGAGAAAGAGAATCTTGAGTCCAAAACAAAAAAAGGACAGAAAGAGAATCTGAACTCAATTATTACAAATAGATCATTCAGGCTAATTGAAAAAAAAAAAAAACATATAGATGATAACAGAAAGTCATAAATGCAGAAATATTAAGTGATGCGCTGAGGTATGAAGTAAGAAAATATATGGCAACACAGTCACCAAAGCATACTTCTTGTGTTTATTAAAAACAAATTAAACCTACACGTTACTGAAGCCTGACATTTCACGTGGGAAGTTGAGAATGGGGGCCCGGTAAGGGGGGAAAAAAAACAAAGAGAGAAGTGGGGACAGAGCTGACAAGAGAAATTCTTACATGCACTCGGAGTGCCACGTAACTTGCGTTCTATCTAATAGAAATCCTCCAAATTACATGGTGGGACCCATGTTTATTGCAGTTTTTTATACATCTTCTTTCCTTCTACACGCGTCCTCTTTCTTCTAGCCGCTCTCCCCCACTCTTTTTGTCTATTGATTTAATTTTCTCTCTCTTCCCAATAAAACTTCTTCCAGCCACTTTAAATTTTGTCTCCTCATTTTATTTTCGTATGCCCTCACACACTCCCCCCGTCCCTCTCTCTATCTCTTCCTTTTTAAATTTTATTTAATCTCTCACGTAAATAACAGTGTTGCTTTCCCAAATCAAAAATTCTAAAATAATTATATAAAGATTTAAATTTTAAAATATTTTGGTTACATAATTCATACTACTTCTGGTGTTTAATATAAAAGCTCGTTTGACTTTTATTACAAATAATTAACTTAACTAGTTTTTTTAATCTATTTAAATTAGTTAACTAGTCTTATATCAAGGAGTGGAGTAGTATTTTACAACTCAACCTTTAACTTCTTTCTCAGCTTTTAAAATTCCCTTCTTTTTTATGGTTTATTTTATGTTGACATGTGAAAACCATTTGACTAAAAAAGGACATGTGAAAATTAGAAGCAGACTTTGATAAAAGGAATCAAACTAAATAAAATATCTGGTTAGGCTTTTTTTAACTTCAATGACAAACTTTTGCTTATAATAATCTGTGTTTATAAAAGTATTTTTGTTTTTCTTCATTTTTTCGTGAGATTGTTGGTGCATTAATGTTTTAATCAAACAAAGTAATCCTTCATGTACCAAAAAAGTGAATTGTCAAACCTGTTTTGCTGCTTTATTGATATTTACGGATGATAGCTTATGTTTATATAAGTTTTTTCTTTTTTCTTTTTTTTATTAAATTGCTGAAACAATCATATTTTGATAAAAGGCAAACGAACCATTTCAATGTTTTTAGTAATGCTACTTTATAACTCCATTTAAAGCTTCAAACGACGTGCTATTACTTAAATTATAGAGTAAATAAAATTAAAAATAAAAGAAAGGAGTGTATGCAAAAATAAGATATAAAGATAAAACTCAAAGTGGGTAGGAAAAGTTTTATCAGGAAGAGAGAGAAAATTAAATTAAAAAAGAAAGAGGGAAAGTTGAGAGACAAAGGAGAAAGTGCACGCGTGCAGAAGGAAAAAAGATCCATAAAAGACCGCAACAACCATGGTCCCACGGTGTGATTTGGAGGATTTCTATTAGTCAGAACACGATATAAGAATTCCTCGAGCTGACAATTATTGGAAGGCAATCGTCAATAATGGATGGACAGCTGTAATGCAAAGAAAAAAAAGCAGACCCCCTCGCCCCTGCCCCTGCTAAGGCTATGTTTGGATTGCAGTTGGAGAAGCCAAAAGCACACGGGAAAGCATGAAACTGAGGTTAGTGGCTTATTACAGCTTAGAAAATTGTTTGGATAGGACTCCTTTTCTAACTGACTTAAGGGAAAAAGTAACTTTTCTAACTGACTTATCCAACGTAATCTGAATCAACTTTTCTAACTGACTTATGGGAAAATTGTGCAAAACTTACGATCTAATTAGTTATGTGATTTCGTTTACTTTAATTAGAGATCAAATAAATTTTAATTTATATTCTTGTTTATCCATTATGTATATTTAATTAATTATCTACAATGTGTTTTCAAATTTTTCTACATAACAAATATTTTTATTTTATAATCTCACAAATAAACTATTTATATGTTATCATAATAATTTTATGTATTTTTTAAACTATTATCACATTAAAAATATTAAATTTTAAACACTACTATTCAATAAAATCCATGCCCTTTTCAGTCATTTACAACTAAACTAACTTTTCTATTAATTATCCAAACAACTTTTAACTTTTTCAACTGACTTTTTATAAGCACCTATCCAAACATAAATCATATTACACTAACTGACTTTTACTCTAACTTCAGTTATAAAAGTCAGTTAGACTATAAATCAGTTTTGTCCAACGCCAATCTAAACATACCCTAAAGCTGTATGACCGTAATATTGTAATATTTCATATTAAAAGTCTGTTTGGAGTTTCGTTTAAAATCAATTTTTAAGTAAGTTCGTATAAGTTAATATAAAATTCACGTCACATAGTTATTTTATATTTCACAAATTACGTTTTAAAAATTACTTATAAATCAATCTAAACAAATTTTAAATTGGACGATTTCCGAAGCCTATTTCAATTTTAGTCATTAACTCTAAATCTGATAATATAGGTTGGGCCCATCAATGCTTGAAAAAATGACAGGTTGAATTGAAAAGAAAAAAGAAAAAAGAATCATTTGGACAACAAGAAGGAAATAAAAAAGAAAATTCATTTGGTTAAAAAGAGGGCATGCGGAAACCATGGCACTTGACAAATGGATAATGAAGGGAGCGAATCTCAATTATTGTAGCGAAGTCAGAAACGCGGAAACACCAACCGGCGCATTGGCTTTTCGTTTCAAGAATTAATTTTACTCCGAGGGCAGTAAAATTTCAGAGTTACACGAGGGAACTGGAAATAAAGTCCCGAGGCTAAGAGAGTGTTTGGATAGAAACCAAACTATGGTTTCAGAAGTGTTTTTACGGATTACGAAGTAAATATGTGGATGAGGTTACCTAGTTTTGCGGAAAAGTGCTTCTGAAACTATAGTTTTGGAGCACCCAAACAGGCCCTAAATGAAAGTTCCCATAATTTTTTCGTAGTAGTGATTGTTTTCGATGATCACCGTAATTCACAAGTTCAATTTCCATCAGTATTCATGCGGTTAATAATTCTCTTCCAGTGTGAAATGTTGGTTCTTTTTCTAAATTTGGGAGAGCCGGATAATGCGCATTATATTTAAAAATGATACATTATTGACTTTTATTTCATCTTAAAAAAAATCAGTTTGACAAAATTAAACTTATTTAAATGATTAATAAAAAATAAGTTTAAATATAAAATTACGAAAAATACATGAATTCTAGTATATAATAGACACGCATGAGGTGATAATTTTAAGAGAATTAAGAGAATTAAAAATAAACTTAATTTGTGCCAGAAATCATGCGGTGAAATGCTTTGTTTTATGAGAAAATCACAAATAAAGACTCTGAATCATCAAAATTATAGAGAAGTCACCTGAATAAGTACAATTACTATGAGAGACCCAGTCTCATATTGTAACTATGAAATCTTGGTGAAATATCTAAAATATTCTTCAGCTATATGACAAGTTGATTATAAGAAATGACATATTTACTTTAGCGAATGACATCTTCAGTAGACTAAATCACAATCTGGTTGGAAGTATACCAAGTAACAAGTTGACTATAAGAAATAACAAGTTTACTTTAACTAGTGACAACTTTGATAGACCAAATCACAACTTGACTAAGGGTATTTTAGACATTTCGTCAAGATTTTATATTTGTAATATCAGATTGGGTCCTTCATGGTAATTTTACTTATTTAGGTGACCTCTGCATAATTTTAGTAATTTGGGGGTTATTATTTATCATTTTCCCTTGTTTTTTCTTAATTGTATTTCATTTTTTTTATTTTGTTTTATCTTATTTGTTTCTTTTCTTTTCCGTCATCATACTAGAGAATTTTGAATTTACGTCCAAGGCGCAACACAAGAAACACCTGGGCAGCAATTCTCACATCTTCACACCTAAGGAGACTCTCCTCTGAAGCTTCTTCACCCGCACCTTCACCAAAAATTGAAATCTTTCATCGGAATCAACGCTCAGATCATCTCCAGAAAAAAGCAAGCTAGCTTCTCTTCTGCTCATATTCTGGGTAAGCACAAGTCATCGCTGCATTTTCTGATTTTTAATTAATTTCTCTTCTTAGTTGTGGTAATTATTTGACGTTGAGGCAGCTTTATATTCTGATTCTTACAGTCTAGCAGTGGTTATGTTTTTCCATAATTTCTCTTATGAGTTGTTATAATAGTCGATACCGAAACAGCTTTAGGACTCTTGTGTGTGTACTCATATAGACATGGTTCTGAATCTTGCAACCAAAGCACGGGGTGTTGCGAAAAATGTCAAGTTCATGAGTTTAACTCAGGAAATTCTAGGTACCTGAAGCCGCTTCTGATAGAGAAAAAGCTAAGGGAAAGAAGACTAAAATAATGGGAATTCTTGATTCCTGGTAAGTGATTTCTGCTTCTTAAAGATATGTATACAGACACACACACAACTTGTACAAAATGAGCTAAGTTCGTTATTCTGATTTGTGAGCCAAAAGTACTCATGCGTGATTGCTTCTTCTGATTTGACTAGAATGTGTCCTTTGAAGTATAGATCTCCACTAAGAGCTTTCATGGGGATCAAGAATCGGACCTTCGCCAGCAACTTGTCTCAGTAGGCGTAAGCCATCACTCTTTTTCGAGTTTAATAATTTTGATGTTGAAAGAGCCTTAGTTTATATGTTAGTTGATGCTAGCTTGATACTGGCTTTTAATTTGCAGGAAAAAATGAATGTCAAGTAGATGCTTTTACTCAGGAGATGATTACTTGGAGCTAGCTGCTGAGTACGTGATTTGAATCAGTGAGGGATCCCTTTAACATACATGTCCTTTTAGCTGTAAGATATCTACGTCACCCTAAAGTGTAGCTGTAGTTTCCAACTAAACCACGGCCAAATTATTAAACTTCACTCTATTTTTTCATTCCATATTATGAAAAGAATAAAAATACATAAAAGGACAAATAATAAGACACGAACATAGAAAAAATAATGAAAATTTCATTTTTTTAAACATTCATGAAATATATTTTTTAAAGGATTAATAAGTCTAGTTATAAAAGTAACAGACACTAACCACCATTCTATATTAAATTATGTAGAAATCTCCAACCTATTTTTTAGAAAATCTTCATTAAAATTAAAATGCATGTTAGACAAATTTGTCTTATATAATTGGGAATCCATTTCCATCCGCCTCCCATTCTATATAATTTTTCATCTAAACTTATTTCTTTGGGTTTCTCTTAAATGCCTAAAAACATATTCCAAACACTTTTTTTTTTTTATCGCATGGTATGAATGATATAAGTTGGACTGTTTTAGAGATTACATAAATCATTTAAATTTATAATTTGAAATTTTTAATTACATTTTTTCCCACAACCACTTGTAAACAAACTTGGTCAAGTATATATAAGAATTAATCAGAATTTTGATTAAAGTTTTTAATCTACATTAACTAAATTAGTTGAACTTCTATTCTACTGTGATAAAAATAAATAATTATTTTCAAAAATAAAAATAAAATTAAAGAAAAATTGAAAAATATTAAATTCATCAAAATTAAGGATTTTGTTTGATGAATGGTACACTAATCAATAAGATTTATTTGAATATCATTTTAAAAATATTATTAATAGAGTTAACGATTTGGACAAAAGTATATGTTTTCAAAATAGAGAGATCTGTATAATTAAAATGAAGTATAAGAAAGGCAAGAGTATTTTCACTCTAAAACTTATTGAAAGCCACATGATAAGTTACAAAGAAAAATGTAATTCCTCGCATATATTTTTTTGCAACTAGGAGACCAGTACACAGTTGCGTTATAAAAATTATACTCCTCCGGTCCTTATTATAAGACCCAATTTGACTTTTTATTTGGTCCTAATTATAAGACCCAATCCATTTTATCTCTTATATTTATGCATTTTTTTCCAAGATAATCCTTCTAATAATGATAGTTTTAGCCAATATACTTAATTAGCAAGGATATTTTAGGAATGACAACACTTATTTATTATAAATAACCAATTTAACTTACTTCCTTAATCTCCTTAAATAAGTCAATTGGGTCTTATAATTAGGACCGGAGGAGTATATTTTTTCTTTTTAAATAAAAACAAAGTTGTTCACAGCTTGTAGAAAAAGGATTCGTCAAGATTAATCCTAAAACAGTCATTTTCATTTTATTAAAGGTCGCATAATTTGATAAGTGTAATTTTATTTATGATAGTTTATGTTGTTATGTGAGACCTAAGAGTAATTTTATGGGGGAAAAATACCATATTCGATCTTTAATATAAAAGTTAGATAATTAATTTTGAGATAATAAGAAAATTAGTTTGGTTGATTATTTGTAAAAAATGTATATTGGTTTTCTTAAATTATCCTCTTTAACAGTATGTATGGGAATTATCCTCTAGTAGGAATCTCTTACAATCAATAATCAATAGGGATAGAAACAAATAGATTGATATCTTATATAACTAGCTCTTATATTAAAAAAAAAAAGTAGTAAATATTTATTAAGGGTTTTCCTCAATTGTATCAACTGGTTTCCAATTATCACAAGGGTTATCTTTTTTGAATTTTTGAAACAATTAATGGTTTATTTTTCTTATGCTTGGGGTCAAGGATGAAATCGAGGACCCTTTTCCCAGAAAATCTGGCTTTCGGTGGCGACACAAAAAAGTCACTGTTGAAAATGTGACTTTTAGCAGCAACAATTATGGTTGTCACTGAAAGTCACATATTCAGCTAAGGGTGTTCAAAATAGTCCTGTCCCAATTTCGGCAATTGAAATGGAACAAATTGGGACATGACAAAAAGTAGGACAATGACAAGACACGAGACAGGATTGTCCTGTCCAGTGGTAATTTATTTTTTATTATAATTATTAAATGTTAAAAAAATGTTAGAAGGTGTGTGTAATACAAAATATTTATATTTGTAGCTTTTAGCACATATGTAGTTGAATGGTTATTATTTATTTAGGGTTTTTATATTTGCTTAGGATTTTTGGAATAGTAAAAATGAATTTTAGAGTTATTATGTTACCAATTATTATTTATTTAGGCTTTTATTTAAGATGGCTAAGCCCAAAAAAATAGAAAAGAAAACAAAAAAAATGCTTTTAAAAGGGCTAAGCCCTAAGAAGTACAACTAGAAAGAGAAAACAAAAATCCATTACAATAGTCCAACCATAAGGCCAAAAAAAGAAAAAAAAGAAAACGGGACATCCTGATCCCATCCCATCCCATCCTGACCGAAACTGGGATAGCACTAAGACGGAATGGCACACGGGACAAATTTTCTGTCATGTCTCTGTTTATTGGGACGGGACCAGGACGGACTTGTCTCAATCCCACCTATTCGATGAACAAACCTAAATTTAGCAGCGACTATTATTGTTGCTGCTGAAAGTTAGAATTTTAGCAGCGACTCAAAAAAGTTGCCACTAAATGTGACAATTTTCAATGGCGAAGTGAGACTTTTCGTAGCCACTATTATTGTCACCGTTGAAAGTCATGCTTTCAGTTGTGACTTTTATTGTTGTCACAGAAAATCAAGTTTCAGTGGTGATTCTTTAGAGTCGCCACTGAAATTGCCGAATGTCCTCTTTTTCTTGTAGTGAGGAGAAGGTTAGAAGGATATCACTAAAGGATAAATTAAATGCTAAATAGAACACAACAAGATTATACTAGTTCGGTAGTTCGGTCCACCACTTGATGGACGTCCAGTTCTCAAATCACTTCTAAGTTTCTACTAGGTTTCCAAGATTTAACAGGCTCTTAGTGCTTCAATACAATAATTGAATTCACTTGATCACTCCTTTTTACTCCCTATAAGGTTACACTACATTCAAGATTCTCACAATCTTAAATATCTTAGAATTTAATGAAGCTTTAATGAATTTTTCTAAGAGTAATAAATGATCATTGAAACTCAGAAATGCACTTTCCAAAAATTTTAGGCAAATCCAAAGAATGTTTTCCTATATATTCATGACAAAAGATTTCTAGATCCCTATATACCCAATGCCAGATAGCTGCCAAAAAGCACTAGCCGAAAAACAAAATATTAATGCAATAGAGTGGTAACTCAAGTTTGTTAATCTTCAACAAGTATCCATCACACTCAAAGCTTTGTTTTCATTGGAAATGGAACTAGTAGGTTGGTAGCTTGTATCCATTGAGTTGCATTCCATGCTTAGGATAAAACTTGCTAACCAACATCATTTTTCCGTTGAGTCCTTAAACGTGTGATAATCTTACTTCAATCATGTTATTAGTGCTTCATAACATAGTGGAACGATGATAGCTTGAGGTATATATTGAGTCCTTCTGATAAGAAGCAAGAAATTGAAATTTGTTAGTTAAGAAATTGATAAGCTTACTCAAGTAGCTTCTTGAGTAAGAAGCTGAAGAAAAAGATAATACTCGAGTGCTTACTCTAGTAGATGTTTGCTTGCTCATATGCTCAAAAAGATACAGAAGAAAGCTCGAAGAAATTCGACTGATTAAGTTTTTATTCGAGTAGATACTTAGGAAAAGAAACCAGTTAAAGCAACTTTACTCGAGTGTCTTATCGAGAAGAGGAATACTTGAGAAAGTTATCAAATAAGGAGTAGAAGATAGCTTTAGAATAAGACAACCTTTGAGAGAGTAATCGAATTGAGAGTTTGAAATCTGGTACCCGAAGGGCATGACTCGAGTTGATAATCAAGCAGACAGATAACCAATCATATAGTCGAGTAAGAGTCTGAAGAAAGCTTATAGAGATACTTCAACTTAAACTAGGTACTCAAGCACATAGTCGAGTAAGAGTCTGAAGAAAGCTTATAGAGATACTTCAACTTAAACTAGGTACTCAAGCACATAGTCGAGAAATCCTCAGCCTGAGTACGTAGTCGAGTTTAGAAAGAATAAATAAGTTTTGAGAGTCTAAGAAACTTGAAACTCAAGAAGATAATTGAGTGAAAGATAACTCGAGTGAGTGGTCGAGTAACTTGACAGAGAAAGAAAGTTTTCACCTCAAAAAGATTAGCTCAATAAGAAAATCTTTACTTGAGTATATGCTCGAGTAGAGTAATATTCGAGAATTTAATTGAGAATAACTAGAAGAAGGTTTATCATTAGATATTTGTTTTCAAAACAGAATGCTTTTAATTCTTGAAGAGATTATCGAGAATTCTGGTACTTGAAAGTTTTATCGAGAAATTGCTCTGTAAAATGTTTTTATTACAAACTCGATAACTTTTACATAAACCTAACTCAATGACAAGAAATCACAAGCTTGAATATTTGTTTGAGAAAACTTTTGATCCAGTAGCATTTGTCATCTTCAAAACTTCAATTTTAGCGGGGGCTTGACCAATGTCAGGGCATGTGTCTAGGCTTAAAAAGCACGCACTTATAGAAGTACTTATAGGGTGCCTACTAAGGGAGTGTTTGGATGATTGCCCAAACCATGGTTTGGGAAAAAATTATCCAAACACCCATCAATTTTTTGAAACCATGGTTTTTGATGATAAAACCATAGTTTGCCTATCAAAACCAAGGTTTTGTAATAAGCAAAAAAATTTTGCTTTTTGAGTGGTTCTCTCCCCCCCACCCCCTACGGTAATTTTTTTTGGTTGAAAACAGTTATTTATTTTTCTAAAAACATAATCTTATATTTTGTAATTATATATACACATATTAACAATTACTATATCATGTCTTTAATATAAGACCTTATTTGACTTTTATTTGGTCATAAATATAAAACTTCAATCTAT